TTGAAACTGACAGCTGCTATACAGCTCGTTGAGAAATGAGGTTAAGTTGGTCGCTATAAGGTACTCCCTACGTCCAATCTGTTAGAGCCAACTTCGACCACGTTTTTATTTGAACGCTCGTTACAAGCATCTCAAACTCAAGCCCAGGATAATGTCAACCATATAACAATGGAAGATCTTATACGAGCTACGGTGAGAAGTATCATGATTTATGAAGAACAACGACAACAGAGAAGTACTTCAGGTGGGCTAAGCTTTCCAGACAACCCCAATACTTTCCGGTCGTTTTCCAATAAGGAAATTGCCGACCTTTTGCCAGAATTCTCCGGCGTAAATCAGAATGTGAATATCTGGCTGGAACGAGTCGAATTAGTTCAGCAAACTTATAAAGTGTCCGATGAAATTATGCAACTGATTGCGATGGGGAAACTTACAGCCCAAGCAAAAGAATGGTACCAGTCCAAGGTAGATTTTGTCGTAATGGATTGGAAGACGTTGAAAGCCGATATGAAGAAAATGTACAGTGTTGAGTCTGACCCTGTTATTCTTAGAAAAACCATGGAAAGGAGAAGGTGGCGTAGAAACGAGAAGTTCGCAACTTATTTTCACGAAAAGGTCTTATTAGGGAACAATGCTGGTGTCCCCGAAAAAGAGACGACTCATTACGTTATAGATGGGTTCAACGACAAGCAACTTCAAAATCAGGCACGCATATTATCAAATCAATTCCATAGTCTTGAAGATCTGTTTAGCACTATGTGCAATGTGATTCGGGATGAGTCTACATTTAGGAGTGCACCACCGACAACACGAAACCCTTCACAGCACACCGTAACGTCAAACCCACCTACGAGAGTCCTAAAGTGCTTCAATTGTAATCGAGACGGGCACAAGATCTCTGAATGCCAGAAACCCATCCGACAGAAAGGATCCTGTTATCAGTGTGGTACCATGGGACATCAATATAAATACTGCCCTCAAAAACGGAAGAAACCAGAAATATCCAGTACTGCAGCTGATTCAACTTCAGGGACCGTTAATCTCATTGAGAAGCCAAAAGTGGATAATCCGTATGTAGTAGATATAGAATATACTGTATCAACTGAATTTGAATCTTGTGAATATTTTATTTTATTATTAGTAGATAGCGGTTCACCTATTAGTCTTATAAAATCTAAGTATGTATCTGACGAGTTAATTATGTTCGATTCAGCTTGTCAAAACCATAATTTCAGTAGCGTTAATGGTGTCAGATTGAATGTGCTAGGTATTTTTCAGAAAGATATTACTGTAAATAATATTGAACTTAATGTAAAATTTTATGTAGTTCCGGACAACACTATGTCATACGCTTCTTTGTTAGGTAGGGACTTTATATCAAATCCAAATATAACAGTCCTTCTAGGTAACACCATTGAAATTCATACAACTGATTTAAGCACTGAAGCGGCTAATGTTGAAGGCATACATTTTATTAATCAAATAATGCATATTTCTTACCTGGAGGAACCAACTAGTGTGTCAAAAGAACTAAATATCTGTCCAGATATGTTCTATGAAATCAAAAACAAAATAACAGATCTTTATGATGATTATACTTTGAACTTTGGTAAAACTGACTGCCCCTTAGACTTCCAAATGGAAATTAATTTAAAACATCATCAACCAATTAATTTCAGACCCCAAAATCATTTTAGATAATCTATTAAAAGAAAAAATTATAAGACCATGTAATTCCCCTTATTCCAGCCCCATTGTGTTAACACAAAAGAAGAGTGGTGATCTTAGGTTATGTATAGATTTTAGAGAATTAAACAAGATTACAATTAAAGATAACTTTCCTACTCCGCTAATTGACGACCATTTAGATCGGTTAAAAGACAAAAAGTTTTTTAGTAGCCTCGACTTAAAAAATGGATTTCACCATGTGCGAATGGCAGAAGCATCCATTAGGTATACTTCATTTGTAACACCATTAGGTCAATATGAATATTGCTATATGCCATTTGGTCTTACCAATGCACCGCGTGTTTTTGCTCGTTATACCCATGAAATTTTCAAAAAACTGATATATGATAATAAAATACTATTATACTTAGATGATATACTTATTGCGACGAAGACTATTGATGAACATATTAATATTTTAAAAGAGGTTTTTCAGCTCGCTTCAGCTCATCAGTTAAAATTTCGATTAGATAAATGTTCGTTCTTATATCAAGAGATAACTTATTTAGGATATCGTATAAATAAAGATGGAATCAGACTAAGTGTCTCAAATATAGAGTCTGTATTAAATTATCCGGTACCCCGTTCTACAAAGGAGGTACACCGATTTGTTAGTTTCGCTAGCTACTTCAGAAGGTTTATACCAAATTTTTCAATTATTGCTAAGCCACTTTATGAACTTATTAAAAGAAATGTTAAATTTAAATTTGAACAAGAAGAATTTAATTCTTTTGAAAAATTAAAGTCTTACTTAGCGTCTCACCCAATTTTAGCTATTTACTCTCCGAATCTAGAAACTGAATTGCACTGTGATGCAAGTAGTAGTGGATTTGGCGCAATACTCATGCAGAAACAAATTAATGGAAAATTTCAACCTGTATCATATTTTAGTCATCGTACAACTCCTGCAGAATCGAAGTACCATAGTTTTGAATTAGAATGTCTTTCTATTATCTATGCAATTAAGAGGTTTCACATTTATTTATTCGGCATTAAGTTTAAAATATTAACAGATTGTGATAGTTTACGTCTTACTCTAAGTAAACAGAATGTCAATCCCAGAATATCTAGATGGGCAATGTTTCTGCAGAATTATGATTATGAAGTAGAACATCGTTCTAACAAAAGAATGTCTCACGTAGATGCATTAAGTAGGTGTCATAGTATATTAATATTAGAATCAAATAGCTTTGATAGAGTGTTATCGATTAAACAAGATCAAGACCAAGATATTTGCAATTTAAGAGATCGGTTGTGTAAATCTGAAGATAATTTTATGAGTTACGAGATGGTCTTGTGTACCGAAAGGATAAAAATAATAAATTGTTATTCTATGTTCCCCTCTCTATGGAAAATAACGTAATACGTTCCTGTCATGACGATTTAGGCCACGTCGGTATCGATAAAGTAGTAGATAATATTACAAAGGTATATTGGTTCCCGAAACTTAGAGAAAAAGTGGAAAATTATATTGCTAATTTTCTGAAATGCATTGAATATTCACTATTGACTGGTAAAGTAGAAGGGTATCTTCACAGTATACCTAAGGGTAATCTACCATTCCAGACATTACATATTGATCATTATGGACCGTTAGAAAAAACTGGAAAAGGTTACAAACACATTATAGTAGTAATTGACTCATTTACAAAATTTGTAAAGTTATATGCTTGTAAATCCACTAAATCGGAGGAAGTTATTAAACATCTTAAAAATTATTTCAGAACTTATAGTAAACCAAGACGATTAATCTCCGATAGAGGAACTTGTTTTACTTCGGGCTTATTTAAAAATTTTGTGGATGAAGTATTAATATCACATGTATTAATTGCAACCGGTACTCCTCACGCTAATGGTCAAGTAGAACGATTTAATCGTGTCCTTACCCCAATGTTAGCTAAGCTGTCAAGTACTCCCAATAAATGGGATCAAGTCCTCCATGAGGTTGAATTTGCTACAAATAACACGGTTTGTAGATCTACCAATGAAACGCCAAGTAAACTTTTGTTCGGAATTAATCAATTAGGAAAAATTAACGATAGAATTAAATATATCTTAGATACATTTGAAAATGAGGAACGCAATTTAGAACAAGTTAGGGAAACTGCTGCACAAAATATTGTAAAGAATCAAGCTTCTAATGAAATTTATTATAACAAAAAGCACAAACCAGCAAATACATATAAAATAGGTGACACTGTAGTTATTAGAAATGTAGATGTTACACCTGGGGTAAACAAAAAATTAATACCCAAGTTCAAAGGGCCTTATGCCATCAAAGAAGTGTTAGATCATGATCGATATCTTGTAGAAGATGTGGACGGTTTTCAGTTAACTCAGATACCGTTCTCTACGGTAGTAGGTCCTGACCAGATGAAATATTGGACGCGTGATTAGTTGTCCCCTTTTATGACGAGCTTGTCTGTATTCCTCAACTTAGCAACTTCAGTTTATGTGTACTTGGTTTATGTTGTTCAGAGTATTATTATGTCCATTATGTTTAATACATTTTAGTGTTTAAGTGTACTCAAATTGTTATGTAAGTTAAGACATATTTATGTTAAGAAAATGTGAATTTATGCCATTATGATTATGTAACTTATGTATTTATGGCCGAGGACGGCCATCTGTCAGGTTGGCCGAACTGTAGGCATTTTATTATGAACTTAAATTTGCCGCCAGTTGTTGTTAGTAGCTAGGTTGGTAGAACTGTGAGTTAGGGAAGTGGGGAAAAAGAGGAAGAAGACGAGATTCGGTTTTGATGAGGTTAAGACACATGTTAAGTTTAATGTGAGGAAAATACAACTTTGAAGATTGAAACAAATAGTTTTTATTTTTGTGAAACTAACCATCCTGCCCGGCCCCTACAAAATATTTTTTATATTTTTATTTTTAGTGTAAGCGATATAAGCGAGGAGGAGGATTTCAGCTGGGGGGCGCCGACATCTCTACCATTATCGTAAGTAATCTAAATTTTTATTTTAAACTATTAAATATTTTTTTAGTGTAAGCGATATAAGCGTGGAGGATTACAGCTGCGTCGATCCTCCAATATCGTAAGTAATCTAGATTTTTATTTTAAATACTATTATTTTTTAACATAGCGACATTACCTTAATATTTTTTATATTTTTTAGAATAATCGACATCACAGCAGGCGATGCCTTCGGCTGGTGGGATCCACCAACATCGTAAGTAATCTAGATTTTTATTTTAAACTATTATTTTTTAGCATAGCAACATTACCTTAATATTTTTTTATATTTTTTTAGAATAACCGACATGACAGCAGGTGATGCCTTCGGCTACATCGATCCACCAATATCGTAAGTAATCTAGATTTGTATTTTAAACTATTATTTTTTAGCATAGCGACATTACCTTAATATTTTTTTATATTGTTTAGAATAACGGACATGACAGCAGGTGATGCCTTCGGCTGCATCGATCCACCAATATCGTAAGTAATCTAGATTTTCATTTTAAATGTTCTATTAACATAGTCTTTCTACATTTCAGACACGAGGGCCCGTGCCATTTTTTTATTTAATCAACAGCTATGCTAATATTTTCTTTTGTTTTCTGTATTTCAGATATTAGACCATATGATCCCACAGTACCACCCCCGAGACATTTCATTAGAAGTGTCTCTGGGGATGGTACTATTATTAACTGTTATGCTTGGAAATAAAAAATTAAATTTATAATTAGTTTTAATTTATAAAAAAGTGTAAAGTGGTTTTATAATAATTCTGTGTAGGTATGTGGAAAGTGTGTACGTATTAGGACGCAATAAAAAAATCTATAAGGGTGTGTTTTTATCCTGTTTATTTTCTATTTGAATTAAAAATAACTATTTACTTAATCTTTATATATTCACAAATTTACTCCAAAAAAAAATAATAAAATAATTTATTTTTTATTAACTTGTAAAGTTACCTTGCAATGTCATTCATATCCGAAAAAATGTTTTTTAATTTCCAAGTTATAGATTCTATATAGGGTAATGAAAAATATGAAAAATTTGAGGGAACCGAAATATGATTAACATCACTTCGGTTCCCTCAAACAAATTTTTCATATTTTTCATTACCCTATGTAGAATCTATAACTTGGAAATTAAAAAACATTTTTTCGGATATGAATGACATTCGACTAGCTTTTACGAATAAGTTAATTATTAAAAATATTTTTTCTAGTCTTAAGGATGAGGTTCCTTTATTACATAAATCTAATGTGGTGTATAGTATTCCGTGTAAGGATTGTCAAAAAGTTTATATTGGGCAAACTGATAGGAGGCTTAAAGATAGGATTGTTTCTCATAAAAGTGACATTAGACTTAATAAGAATTCTTGTGTATGTTGTCGAACCATACAAATAGTTGTAAACATGATATTGATTTTAACGAAGTAAGTATAAAATTTACAGAAAATAATGTTTTTAAAAGAAATTTCCTTGAGATGTGCAGCATCTTTCAATGTGAGAACACTATGAATAGACGTTCTGACATTGATAACTTAAGTATCATGTTCACATATTTGTTAAGTATTAATAATAATAATTCATCTAATAATGACGTTAGTGAATCTAGCTTATAGAAATTATTTTTCAAAATTTAGCGCTCAAATTCACTGTTTCCTTTTTTCTAAATTCCATAATTTACTTAGTCCATGGTTGTCTCAATTATTTTGTTCGGTGTACCTTTTGGTTCTGTAAAGTTTGGTTATGATTCTTTGGTTCAATTATAATTCCATGCTGCCACATGGCTGAGCAAAGTTTGTAAGGTTATATAGTTTTAAAATGTAATTGTAAAGTAATAGCTCAAAATTTTAAACAATTTTAGTATAAATATTTTAGCAATAGTGTTAATGAATGTTTTTAACAATAGATTTTTACTTATCGTACGGTTATGACTAATGATTCAAATGGATTTTGTTCTAAACTTGGTAAAAAATTTTTTTGATTCAAATCTCAATTTTGTAAGTATAAGTTAGATTATTACTTGTGGTTGCTACCAATGTATATTCCATTGTAGTTTCTCCTGAGGCAGGAATAATTTGTTCCGAAAGCTCGAGTAATAAAAAAGAGTACACTTCAAATTTTTCTTTGACTGCAGACCCGACTATATTTTAAAATTTTGTTAGTTAACTTAGACAGTCGTCTAACGCTTTGGCAACTTATATATATATATATATATAGAAATGATACGGTTAATCTTGACGATTAAGTTAGAGACCAAAAAAAATATATATTGGGGATGTCGTCAATTGGTGGTTCACGTTTAAAATTTTATTCAGTCGAGACTAGACAGCTGTTCAGAACAATGAAAATAAAAATAAAAATGTTATACTATCCATTAAGTTTTAAGATGTAACTCTGCCAACTGAACCAGTAACCTTGAAAAAGATAATAAATAATTATCGAAAGCTTGGTTTAAGTTAAATAAGAGTTTTCTTTCAACCACCAATTGACGACATCCCCAATATATATATTTTTNTCTCTTCACTGTATTGAAAACATATATGTAGCGAACTATGAATCAGCAAATAATATATTTCAATAACGAGCCATAAAACCCGATTCATTTTCCTAGATGAAAATTATCTTTAGAAGTATGCTATTTGATGTATACAGGTAACTTTTATAACTTAAAATAATTAATTATTTTAGAATATTTTCTTAATTTATATTTATATATATATAAAGATTATGAGAATTGAAAATTTACAAGTAAAAAATCACTGATTTTATTTTTTAAATGTACAATGTCGTAATAACGAACCAAATATTGATTCATTTTCCTATGAGGCTTAAATTATTTTTATTTGATATTGTTGCGTTTGTGGACTGAATGAAAATTTAAAGAAAAATATTGCGAATGTGAAGCTGAACACTTACCCCTTAATTGCAGCAAGCATCCAACGACACCAGAATAACCAAGAAGGCACAAAATAAAAACCAAAGCGTAAGCGAGCGGCGAATCGATCGTTTTGTGTGTACTTTTTCGACTGGAATACTTCACTCACGGACAGGGTTTTCGGTCCAACCTCACACCTTTTTGCCGCGAGTTTTAATATTTAAAATAAAAGTGTTGCTAATTGTAAATATTATGTATAACTTAAAAACTAATTAATCGGCAGGACGCACCATACCGCCCACCAAAATGCATATAGGCATTTTATTGAGAAATTGGTAAAACAGCAATCTTTGTCACGGGCCTTTTAAGAAGGCCACGTGCCGTACGTAATGTAACTACTCTACAAATTCCATCAGCGCCTGGATGTTTCTCTACTACACGACCAATGAAGGGAAGGAGTATTTTCTTCCTTTATCAATACTAGGGAATTTAAAGCGATATCAGTAGCATTTAAGTGCCATTTATTGCGTTGCTGTAAATTGTTCAAATATTCAACATGCCAACGTTTCCAAAAATCTGACTGCATTTTCTGTACTAACTGCCATCTAGATAGCCTATTGAGCGATAAATGAGAAAAGTCTTGATTTGGTAAACATGACAGTGGCTCTAAAGTTAAAAAATGACCTGGGCTTAAAACCGTGAGATCTGTCGGATCATAACTCATCGGAGTCAAAGGCCGAGAATAAAGAATAGCCTCTATTTGCGTGAGTAATGTATATATTTCTTCAAATGTTAATATTTGATCACCAATTACTCGAACTATATGTCTCTTGACAGATATTATATTGCTTTCCCAAAGTCCACCCATATGTGGAGCTGAGGGGGGATTAAATTTCCATGTTATTTTTTCAGTTTCCGATGCATCTTTCATTAAATTAAACAATTCTCTCGATGTTCCTAAGAAATTACTACCTCTATCGGATAAGATTTGCGAACATCGACGGGGTCGTGCGATAAACCTTCGCAGGGCTGCTAAAAATGCATCACTTGATGAGACAAGCTCTAAATGAATAGCCTTTGTAGCGCAACAGACAAAAAGGCATATATAGGATTTAGTAGATTTTGCGCCACGCATTTTTATGGCAGTAGTAAAAATAGGTCCTGCGAAGTCAACACTTACACAGGAAAATGTTTTCAACTGATTAACTCTAAAGGAAGGTAAGTCTCCCATTTTGGGTTGTATAAATGAAGGAGATGCGCGAAAACATTTTAAACATTTTGTCAATGTGTGACGTATTTCTCTTTTTGCGGAGAGAATCCAAAAATGTTGTGATATTAAATAATGCAGCGTTTGCAAGCCAGTACCTATGCAAATAGTCCTGATGATATTTTTCAATGAGAAGCTCCGTAATGCGATGATTTCTGGGTAGCAATATGGGAAATTTTCTGTTATAGTGTATATTTTGAATGCGTAAGACGTCCGCCCACCCTGAGCAATCCGTCTTTAGCGTCAATAAAAGGATTTAACTTCCGAAAAGGTTTAGGTAAAGGTTTGTTATTTTTAAGCGAAGTGATTTCTGTCTCAAAAACGATTTGTTGTACAAATTTTATCACGATTAAAAGCGCTTCGTGCAAATCCCAAGAACAGAAAGCATTAGATTTTTTGTTACGCGGATTTTTTATATTGTGTACAAAACGAATGTAATAGGCAATTATGCGTTGAATTTTATGTAAGGAGGAAAATCTGTTTAAAGTTGTATAAAAGGTTCGCATGCGAGACTATAAAAGCGTAATTTTTCTTTCTTCAAGTAAATTAGGCGCAATTTCAGACTTATCAAAATTTTGTTGTGGCCAAAAATTTTCATTTAATTTCAACCATGGCGGACCTGACCGCCATAACTGATGTCATACCAAGTCAGAATAAGTCGCGACTTGCACAATCCGCAGGGTTTTCCTGAGATGGAACGTAACGCCAACAATTTGGTGACATTTTAGTTTGAATTTTGCTCACTCGATTAGCTATAAATGATTTCCAACGATACGGAGAATTTTTTATCCAATGAAGCGTTATAGTAGTCGGACCACGCGTAAATATTATCAAAGGAAATTTTTGTTTCATATGCTTTGATTATAAATCTAATATATCATTTAGTAAAACCGCGGCGCATAATTCAAGCCTAGGAAGTGAAATTTTCTTGAGCGGAGCTACTCTAGATTTTGCATAAATGAGGCGCGTAAGTTTTGTGTTATTAGGATAAGTAAAACAAAAATAGAGTACGGACGCATAACCACGTTCGGAGCTATCCGAAAAGGCATGTATGTCGCAAGTAGCATAAGTATCAAAGGATAAACAGCGAGGAATATTTAATTCCGAAAGAGTATACAACTCTGTTGTATAACGCGATAACAAATTTTGAACGTCTTCTGGCGGATATTCATCCCAATCCAACCTTAAAACCCATAAATATTGTATGAGGTGCTTTGCCAAAAATGTTAAGGGCGCCAAATACCCTAAGGGATAAAAAATTCTTGCCAGTAGTGACAAAATTGTTAGTTTTGTTGCAGGTCTATCCAATACTTCAACTTTGTAAGTAAAGCAATAGCTATTCGGATTCCACATGAAACCTAATACTTTTAGAATTTCTTGATTTGAGGAATCAAAATTGCGCGAATTTTGAAAACAATCCGATTCATCTAGATTAGATGAAACTAAAGGCTCGTTTGATGCCCATTTGCGTAATTTAAAACCGCCACCATTAAATAATTGCGTTAATTCTTGTACAAGAGTTTTTGCCTCATCTAATGAGTTGCAACCTGTCACAATATCATCGACATAAATATCGGAAAGTAAAACGCGAGCTGCATTAGGAAACTGATTTCCTTCAACATAAGCTAATTGTTGAACAGTTCGAAGAGCTAAAAATGGTGCACAGTTTACACCGTAAGTTAATTTAATTGATACGTTAAAATTGGATCGTTCTGATTAAAGCGCCAAAATATAGGTTGATATTTTCTATCATGCGTAGTAATTAATATTTGCCTGTATATTTGTTTAATGTCTGATACTATAGCAAATGTGTGAATGCGAAAATTTAATAAAATTACAGAGATATCCTTCTGAAGTTTAGGTCCAATATAAAGTGCATCATTTAGTGATACACTGGAAGAAGGTCCAGAAGCAGATGCGTCAAATACCACTCTCAATTTGATGGTTGTACTAGAAGGTTTTATAATACAATGATACGGAATATAAAAATAATTAGAATCACTGCTTGTCGAAGAATCAATTAATGACATGTGACCTAATTCCAAGTATTCCCTCATAAATGCAGAATACTGTAAATATAATTCCTTATGGAACGTTAAGCGTTTTTCAAGATTTAAAAATCTACGTAATGCAATATCTTTCGATTCAGAAAAATTACAATTAATAAAATCCGATTTGAAAGGTAACGATACAAATGTATCTACCAGAACTGTTGCGTGAATGGGTTGATATAAAGTGTTGTTCTTCGTATGTGGGAACTTGCGTAACTGCTACTGTAGGAGTTTCCTCAATTTCCCAAAATTTTCGAAGAGTATTATCTAGATTGGCATCTGTCTGAATACAAAATGACTTTATTATGCGCATATCACTTTGACAATTAGTTTTACCCAGTAGAATATATCCGAAAATTGTGTTAATTGCGATTGGTTCCTCCGGTTTTCCGACTAATTTGCCATCAAGTATAATTTGTGAAAATATATCAGCACCTAGAAGTATGTCAATTTTTCCTGGGCGATTAAAATTTGGATCTGCTAATTTAATGTTAGTTAAATTAGTCGCAGAAAAATTACAATTCGGCATTTTTTCAGATATTTGTGGAACAACTAATAAATCAATTTCCAGCGTAGGTTCTAATAGTTCTACTCAACTAGAACCGATTAATATATTCAGTGGGCTCTACAATAACCATGAATATGTCTATTATATATATATATATATATATATATATATATTGTGAGTGAAAAAAGCCATAATAGGCTGACAGCAATGTTTTTATCGAAACAGAATTAACAAGGCTTCTGATCAGGAACATCTTTTTAGATAGTTTTTTAGATAACTCGTCAATATGTTGCTTCCAAGACATTTGGCGATCAATGTTCACTCCGAGAAATTTCACTTGCGAGGTNTTTTTTTTATGATTTGATTGAAAACTAAATTTATTCTGTTAATTTTGCACAAATAATTTCTATGAATTTTATCAGAACATGAGTTCCCTTCTCAGAAGTCGGTTCTTAGATTAAACTGAATAAAATTAAATAATATAGTGTGATCTGGGTTCAAACTTTCTATTGATATTTATGATGACAAATAAATTATTAAATTTTTCTATTCCCTAATTTAACCTGCTCTATCTTAATTCTATGCTACAAACATGTACTTATTCTATTCTTATAATTATTATTGTCACTCACTTCAGACCGATCAACAATCCTTTTTTTTTTCACTGTCCTTGATTTCTTACGTCGGTACCTTCTCTCTGTAGCGTTGCTTATATCCTCTCCCTTCTAGGCGTCTACGTACTCTCTCCTGGTGATTGTCGATATATGCTAGATGGGACTTCTAGCTCTCCCCTGGTCTCTCGTACCCCTCGAATCTTTTATTCTTGGCTAGGATAATTCAGACAATTTTAATAATCTAACCTTTTTAATATTTACGTTTTTCGTTATCCGTATCTCCTGTTACTTTCTTCCAATACAAATTCTTATCTCCAGAAACTTTTCATTCAGGTTCTCAATAACTTCTCTCGTCTTTGATACTTTAATTAGCTGGTATTAATTCAATGTTGTTATATTCTTTTTGACAATTCCTCCTCTATACTCTCCTGTCTTAGATATTATTATTATTATTATTATTTTCGTCTCCTTGATTACCGTCGCACTACACACTTAATTTAAAATACAAAATCTCCTTTTTTTTAATTAACCAATCAGATCACTTTATTTTACATTTTTAATTTAACTTTTCTAATATTATTTAATTCCCAATTCACTATGTAATGCCCTTATTTTATACCCACTTTTATAGATTTAGACTAATATTCCACTAAAATTCATAATCTACTTATAAATTGTCATCAAATTAACTTCCACTGTCATTCCTTGACATTAATATCTTTTTATCCCAATACTGCCATTTAAACCCTTGAATTATTGATTCTTCTCAAATTCCCAAATTTGTTTTGAAATTTTGAAACACCCTGTATTTTTGAAATTGCAAAACAAATTTTTACAGATTCCTGTTTTATCGACATTTGACTTTATCCGTCTGCCTGATTAACTGTNATACCAAATATATATATATAAATACGAAATTTGCTTTTAAGTTTATATGAATAATGTGCAATAAATAAAAAAATAGTTAATTTTATTTTTTTATTCAAGTACTCAGTTTAAAAATAAGTGCTGTTAAAGTTTATATTTTATTCTCATGAACTACTCTAGGTCTTATTTGTTCCAGTTTAAAAAAATGCCTCAAACCAGTTTTATGAATAACATGAACCATTAGGAGACCCTTCAGTGAAGGTAAACCATTATATCTGCAGTGTTTTTAGTGTGTTAATTGTCTTTATTTTAATTCCTAAGGGATTTTCTGGGGACTGACACATTATTCTCAACGTTAGGCTGCACTAGGTGCACGTATTTATGACGAGATCAAGAGATCCAAAATATTGTAAGTATTGTTAATTTTTATTCCAGTGGTATTCAAAGAAATCAAATCTCGTATTACGTATAATAACCGAATAAATAAATGATCAGATTTCCCGTTTTATTTTTTGTACATCAATACTTTTTTTTTAATAAAAAATATGGAGTTGAAATGGCAAGCAAATGTTTTGGAAATTAGGTACGTATTTGATCTATAAAAATATTTAATACTACCCTGTAATTTTTTTTATTAACCCAATAAGTACTAAAAATGTACAGTTGGCGCCACCCAAATATGAACTGATTATGGTTGTTATGGAAATTTCATCTGGATTTTATCGTAGTAAATCAGACTTTTTGTAGTGGCGTAACACAGAGAGGGTGTTCTGATGGACAAATTCGACCAAGATATTGTCTTCCGCATCACTGGAAACCTTCCCGACACCTTGCCTGATAGGTCTTTGTAATTTTTGTTCTTCTTACCAGATGTTCTTGTTTAATATAAAATATACAACTCTTACTATCATTTAAGCAGCCACTTCACTCAAAGACCAATTATCTTCTAATTTAGTTATAGCCCTTGCTCTTTGCGCCTCAGTTAAATGCTCCGGCATATTTCACGTTACTTATTTGTTTACATTTCATTATGTTTGCTCTAAGTGACATATATATTTGACAACTATTGAATTTTACGACGACTATGATTTGAAGTTTAAATTACACGGTACAATATGGCCGTTCACATTTGGGTGGCGCCGACAGTACTGTACATAGCCCAGCTGATGTTATGAGGACATCAAATGTCATCAGGACGTCAAGAGCAAATCCCAGGCGGGAGCGACTAAATATCTGACGGCGCCCCCGCCGAGCTGCGCATGCGCTGGTTTGAATTACTTTTGACAGAACTAAATGAGTTGCCAAAATGCAAACATTAGTACAATGTTTGTAAATGTGTAAATTGTTTTTATTAGTTTCAGAAGTACATACTTCCAAAAAGACAAAAATAATGTTGATTTCTCAAGTCTTGCTTACAGTACTTGCTTATAGAAATGTTAAAATAAAGCAAATTAGTGACATGAAATGTTAAAAAATGATGGATAAACATCCGAGTCACACTTTTGTTTTCTATTTTCATGTATACTTACTTAAATTTTTTTTATGTAAACAAAATTAGAACAAAAATATAATATGTACGAGTTAAGCGAAAATCAAACAATTCTGTTGTTTTCTGGCTGTGGTAAGTAGGTAAAAAATAAGGAATTAAACAAAAAATATATTCTGCTATGATGACATATATTTCAACTTATCTTACAATTATTATATAATCTTACATAATGCTACGACATACACATAATTTATTTACAAGAAAATTCCTTTTAATATCTATGTAAGGTGTTTGGGGAACTTGAAAAATGGGGAAACTATGATAGAGTGGTAGTATAATTATGGTCATTAGATTTATCTGCAGACACAAAAGGTTTATTTTGTAAAAGGTTTTCAATATTTAAGTTTTGGTTGTAATTTGGTTTTTTGTATAACCCTTTACGAGTGATTTTATTTTTCTTTGTTGAAAGAAAGTTTTTTGTTGACAAATTTTTTTATTAGGCGGCTCCCTGATCAGTTCTGTTTCCAATTCATCTACTTTTCGTTTTAGGTTATTTTCCACTTCTCCTAATGTAGCTGTCGATTTTTTTGCAGTGTCTGTACACATGTAATTACATAGCACCTTTAGACTTTTTTCCGCATAGTACAGTTTATCTTCATCCGCAATTGAAAGACTTTCACTGATATTGTTCAAAATTTCTCTCAGTTCAGCAATCTTTTTAGTTTTGCCTAGTTTCTGGGAGTTACTAGTAGCAAGGGAACCTACAGTATTTAAATGAATAGATACTTCTTGATTAACAACAAAATCTTCATTTTCCTTGTTTTCAATTATTAACTGACTTGAGTTGAGCTCTGTATTTGTTATATTTAAAACAACAAAATGAATATGCTTACAAATCGTAGATTTAACAAAAAAGTCTGTACAAGTGCAAGCATAGGAGTGAACACATATATTACATGAATTGCATAATAACTTACAACAAGGTTCATCTTTAGTTTTTGACACAAAATAAGTCAATTCTTCAGATGTTAACAACCATACGTTATCAGAATTTGTGGTTATATGAAAAGTAGATTCTTCAGCATTATGGTGACGTTTGTCAATATCAACAATATGACAAGAATTTTTGCCTTTTGTAATTTTAATCATTCAATAATTTTGTTTCTAATGTATGAAACGACAGAATTAATCCCTTTATCGAGCCTTTTCGTTTTCTTTCTATCTAAATAATGATATTTGATGAGTTTATGCATGGACTCTAAACGCATATTAGTATTGATATGACAATTTTTACGAAAACAGTAAGCCCATTGTTCACAGTTATTACTATAATATTTTAAAAAATACTCCCCAAAACCTTTTGTATCTTGTTCTGAAAATAACAATTTAATTGTTAAATCAAGTTCTGTTTTAAATTTATTTTCATCTAAAATGTACTGTAAATGCTTGAGTGTTTCGTAAACATTCTTCCTTTTCTCAAGATTTGTAATTTTATTTAAATTACTACGCCAAGCATGATCTACATGCCAGGAACAAAACAACTGATTTTTTACAGTACCCATTACCATTTTCCAAGCATTATAGAAGGTATGGGTGATATCCGTCATAAATGAAATCGGATTTAATATACCAACCCTCTCTAATTTTTTTGAAAAATATTTCATTTATGACAGTATCTTTTCTATTGCTAAACATGCATGCACCTGGCAACCCTTCACCATACTCATCCACTACCAATACCGTTGTTAACTCAAAGTCATAATTATTAAGCCCATGTGTGCTATCTACACAGATTATTTTATTGCCATAAGTTTCTAGTAAATGTTCTTGCGACTGATTAAAAGCAAACATCCTTATTATCTAAAATATCATGATCCTCTCCTTGCCTCTTATAATACACAAAGCTACTTCTTTTATATTCCTCCACCCACATATCTGCACTAATAGAATCATTTTCATGTTGAACCTAAAATAAATGCAGATTAACAAAAAGAAAATGAGTATTTAGTTAAAGTACAGCTTAAACACAGTTTAAAAGTAAGCAGGGGTTTATCAATTTTATTAAAAACATTAGCTGATGTTAAAAAATGCGTATACGCTTGTAATACCCTGTATATCAGTGACGGCTCATCAGGTGACGCAAGTGACGCACCGCTTCACCTAAAATTTCCGTTTGGTTGTGCAATTTAGTTATTTTTAATTTTATATAAATTTTATAATTTTGGTATAATTCTATATTGAATATATATTGTGTTTAATTGTTTAATACGCAGAAATAAACAGGATAGTTGCGCGGTGAAAGCCTTCTAAAAAAACATTGCCTTCGTTGAGCGCGAACATCAGTGCACGATTATAACGATTCTTAGTTAATATTTGTTTTGTATAATAATTGTAGAAATGTTTCCTGCGTATAATCCAGTATGTATTTTATTGGAAACGCCACATTTTCCAGATGGAAAATTGAGGACAAAAAGGATTTTTTTAATTGCGAGAGACCTGTGCCTTATTCTCTCGATATGGAAAAAAGGGGAAGTCAAAAGACAATGTGTACGTTCGGAAGTTTCGGAATGAATGGTATTCGGAGCATAAGTGGTTGTGTGGAAGAAAAAAACTCTTCTGTATGCTGTGTTCAATTGTAGTGTAAGGTTGGGCATGTGGAATAAGGAGGGATTTAACAATTTTGGGAACGTCACAAAACTTCTTTGGAACATACATGTACGGTGTGCGTTAATGTTCGCAGAAGTCCACAAGCCGAACTAATATTTTTATTTTTTATAAAATCTAAATGAAAATCCTTCCCACGAACGTCAGTTTTTTGGTAATATTGCAAATGCAACTAAAAATTTCCAAATTCATTTAAAGCCATTTGACCTTGAAAATTTGAAAATTTTCGCCTGCGCCGCTTTTGATTTTTCTTTTTAGTCAATCAATGAATATGCTTCACCTATTTTCAATGTCACGAGCCGCCACTGCTGTATATCTTAGGGAAAGGAGAATTTGGAGCAATTTTTTTAGGATTTCAATAACTTACTCCATTAATAATGTCCATTTTAAAAGAATGTATGACGTTGTTAATATCTTTGCGTGTTAGCAGGTCCTTCCTTGATAGATTTGTACTGTTAATGTCTCTTCGATTATTATCTAAAACCCTATAAAAAGTAGACACTATAATTTCTTGTTCAGTCAGTTATTAAACATTTTCTTATTATACAAACCTTGTTACAGTTACACCACTGGAAAGTTTGTGTGCAATATTAATTATGTCCTGCTTAAGTATCCTTAAATGCTGCAGTTCGATTTTATGCTTATAATGTGTTTTATAGTAAGTAACAGTACATTTCCCCTTATTTTCTTCTTTTACTGTTATTGAACTTGTACAGCTTCTATTTAATTTACATGAACCCTGCATTTTTAACTTGCGTTTCCTGGCTTTCTCTGCTCTCTTAGGTAAGTAAATGCCTAAAAATAAAATAAGTATCAAATTTAAGGTGAAGACCGTATATGACAATGTAAAATTATATACCTATAAAATATTATACAATAAATTACAAGGTGGTAACTTATACTCGTCATTTTCTGAAAGTTTTCTCGTGTACGAGTTGTATAAGCAGATATGCGAGTTATTGCCACACTGTGTATTTTCTATTTTACATTGTCATACACTTAGTAAATATAATTTACCACTACGATTGCAATAATAATAAGAAGTTGTAGATCCTTCTGCTTCATTTGTTGCCTTTTTCTTCGGAGAATATTGAGAATTATAGTCTTTGTTGATATCATTCAGCCACACGTTAAAATCTATAAAAAAATATCTGTTTAAATGTACCTACACTTGCAGAAACAAAAGATTACCTACCCTGAAAAGTCTCGAAAGTATGAATTTCCTGAATTATTTCATAATTGTGACTGATTTTCAAATGTTCACGTAACTCCTTTAAGTATTTAAAGGAACAATTACACCCATCAAGACATTTATTTATGAATGTTTCAAAATTGTTAGATAATATACTAGTCGCCTTGTGCACATTTTTATGTCTATTTAAATTTTTCTGTTGTGTAAATATCAAACCGCACATTTCACTTTTAACCGACATGTTTAAATTTTTACTAAAAAAGGTTGTTAATATAACAAAGTTCAAAAATATTGGTAGGTAAGTATTTAATTTAAAGGTTAAGTAAACGGCATATAATAATATCTGTACAGACGCATGCGCAGTTCAACGGGAGCGCTGTCGCATATTTAACCGCTCCTATCCCAGGCTGTCTCATTGGATATCTCTGGTACATCCTGAGGTGATCGTGTACCAATCAGAGAATATCTCATATATTCTGAAAATTTATTCTCAGTACATCGTAGGAATGTCGCTGTACTGTATGGGATGTAATAAAGAAAAAATGAAAAGTGAAAATGATGGAAATATATAACAATCAACTGTCTTTAAAAACGGAGTTGTAATAACCTTATTCCACTACGTTACATCACTGATTAAAATAAAGAACACAACAAAAAGAAAATGTTTATTATAGTCTGTATAATTAGATTTATTCTATTATATATTCTTCACTTTGGGATTTGTTAATTATACTGTATTATGACTCTTAATTGACTATATTAAAGGCGAGACTAATAAAAAATAATTACGACATGGCAACTAAGATGAAAGTGATTTTACTTTGTTATAGAGCTATTTATAATCTTTGGAGATCTTAGTTAGCATGTAGTTCTTAACAGGCACGGGTTTATTAGCTAACAATACATTGTTGCATTTTTACTTACAAATTATTCTGTCCAAAATATATATAATTTTTTGATACTAACTTAATACATTAATAGAGTTATAAAAAGCAATATTTTATTTTGCATTTAGACAAGCACCAAATCAGAATTTTCAAACAGATCAAAAGGAGTGCATTATTGGTGAAAATCAAGAAATTCATCTTGTCAAAATTGTACATTTTGACACATGCCTTACCTGATAATTTATCTTTTTAGTTTTCTAATTTGGTGATATGCATAAGGATGTCCCACCTAAAATGATATTGATGAAATCGGAAAAACAGACTCAAAAATATAAAAAAAGTTTTACTGCACATAACTTACATCTAAAAATAAAATAAATGATGTTTATCTTTTCTTCTAAAACTGACCGAAGTGAAAAGTAAAAGTTACATCATTTTTAGTGAGACATAATACATACGTTAGTTATAAGATTAATACAAAATTATAAAAGCCATGCGACCACATAATTAAAATACGATTGATGCTTGCTTACAAATTTTGACATTTATAGGTCGTCCGGACGCTCTCAAATCTGATATATTTTTACATTTATCATTATTATTTATTAATGTTATTACCTTGTCATAACAGTTTAAATAACAGAGACATTTTTAGATCTGAGGGCGTAGACTTGCTCTTTGGCTGCGAACGACCTAAATTCCCTTAAAACTGTGAGTGATGGTAATTAGACGGGCCCTCTTGATACATATATTGTAAAGCGTTTCCCTTTCCAACTGCTTTCATATATGCACGGAAAATATCCTGATTCCTTTTGTGATGCTTCTTAATTGTAGATAGAGGTTTCGGATATAAATCAAAAACTCCAATATTGACTAAATAATAACCGAAACTGGTTTTAATAATATTTTTCATTTCTAAGTTATCACTGAAACAAAGCATGCATAACATTAATTTAAATTTTAATACTTTTAGTAAACGTTAATGGTAATCGTACAGGTAGTGACGCAAAAGTTGTCTCCTTTTTTTTCTGAAAACTGATAAAATTGAAATTCAAAAATGTTCCATTTTATTGAATAAAACTATTACATAGCTTAATAAATTTTCACAAAATTCAATATTATACAGGGTGTAACTAAATAAGTGTAAAACATTTAAGGGGGTGATTCCTCATCGAAAAAAAGATAGGATCTTTCATATAAAGAAACTTCATTGGAGCATCCCTTGTTAAGATACAGCCCCTTAAAGGGGGTACATAAAATTTGTTTAACAATTTTTTTCACAAGCACTAAACAAGTTACAATATTGAAATTAACCTGACATTTTCTACTACCAAAAAGACACTTAGCCAGTAATTTATTTGGTTTACCCCATGGTAGTAAGGGGTGGAAAACGCAACCCCTAAAATTTATTTCCAACGTAATTTTTTGTCTTATTATTTTTTTACCATTTAAAAAATTATTTCCGATAGCCTGTTTCATTCTAAAAAAAAATGTCTCTTGAATTTTTTGCCCAAATTAAACCAGTTCGCAGTAAAAAATTATTTTACGAACAACTACAGAGATACATCGTCATAAATGCGGACTGGATTTACTGTTATTTTGTAGTTACTACCTGCATTAAATGATTAAAGGGGAATAATCAAAACTAATTTAATAATAACAAAACATACAACATGTAGAAATCATAGTAAATGTTCAATATGTCTACCTTCAGACATTACGCATGCGTCTAGACGTCGGCGCATTGAGCCACGTATTCGCTCAAATATTCCTGGAGTCTCTCTAATTACCCTGCACGCATCGATAATGCGGTTTCTTAAGTCCTCTACATCGCGAACAGGAGTACGATAAACCAAATGCTGCAAATGGC